TGGCTGGCGGTACCTTTGCATCATCCCAGGACCACTTAGACTCTCCGAGCTCTGAGCGAGCGACCCGGAACGCATCCCGCGTTGAGCGTTCGCCAGCGAGTTCGAAGGGCGTCTTGCCATCATTGTTCTTTATTGTAGGATCTGCTCCACCACGAACGAGAAGTCCAAGTACTAATGGTGCAGCGTTTTGAGCAGCCGCGAGATGGAGTGGTCGTGGTGCGTGGTGGTTTTGCTCCACAGGCTGGAATTCGAAATCGGCTGATATGTTGTTGTTCTTGAGGTATGAGAGTAGCGCAGGGACTTTCGACCTTCGCACAAACGCTTGAAGTTGAGATGTGTGGAGTAAAGCAGTCTCTTCCTCTTCTGTCAACTTCGGTTTTGAGGGCTTTGTGCTCGTCTTTGTCGGAGTCGCTGACCCCGAGTCTTTCTTCTGTTCCTGCACAGGCTCGATCTCACGGACTTTTAGTCGCGTCAATTCGATGAAGGATCGCATAAGTTCATTCTGCGTCGCTCGCCGCGTGCTGAAGGGAAAGCCGCGCAGCCGAGTGTCATTGTGCTTCAACACCTGTCCCTCATAGGGGCCGAAGAGTGTTCTTCGATTTGTCATACCTGTTGCTCGGACGAACAACAGCTCTGAGGTGTCGATAAGAACTTTCCAGTCTTGGAGCAGGGTTCTCACATCCTCTACCAAAGCCTGTTCGTTGTATCGTCGCAAACTCGAACCAGCCGAATGCGCAGCACCCTTCGCATTATCGTTGGCCGATTGAGAACCACCTTGCTTTCGTCGGGTTGTGTATCGATGGAAGGTCTTGTGAGCAAGAACCGTCGCTTCTCGATTCATAGTTGTGCCGTTCTTGTTGGGTCGTGGGGCGAGAGATACAACCATGGCCGCAAAGTGGCCACCTCCAATCATGCAGAGAAAGATATGAGGACCTTTGTACGCGACCTCCGGTAAGGCGCCCTCCTTAGGAATCTTGGGCATGGGTATAGGCTCGACCTGCTTCTTCTTCAACACCTCCACCAGGTCCTGATTTCTTTGTTCTTCGCCCGTCAAGATTGCGCGGTACATGCCAAAGTAGGTCTTCTCTGGAAGCAGGGGAGAGCTAAACCATACCAGTGGTGGTTTACCGCGACCTGGCTTTCCTGCCGTTTCGTCCTCATCATCTACCGTTGAATCGTTTGCTTTATCAGCCAATCTCGCCTGCTTCTTCAACAGCGCAGTCAGTGTTGAATCTTGTCGGCCATCTTCCTCCTCTTCCTCCGACTCGTCTGAGTCAGAACCCGATAATGATTCGTCTAGGTTGCCAACGAGCTTCTCGAATTCGGTCTCTGACACGGGCTTTTGACCTCGCAGTTTTTGCTTGAGATTGTAGTGGTGAAAGTCAGACTTGAGATGCCCCCGCTGGTCGATCACTGTTGTGAATGTGAGGCCACACAAAGAGCACGCTTGTGTCCCGACGAGATTCGTATCTGACGACGGCACGCTCTCAGATGCTTTCGTGGATTCGGCGGCAGCGATGGCTTCGGCTTCGGCGTCTGTATCAGATTTGAGCACCAAAGTGTCCAAAACTTCGGCAGGCAGATCATAGACTGGTTAACTCGTCAGTACTTTGCGACATCAAGACACGCTGGTCGATGGCGGGGGAGGGGTATGAGATGGATACATACGATACAAGGGCCGCCGAAGAAGATCCTCGTTCGTCTTAGCCATGACGACTGACGTATGTGGTTTCGTGCGTATAGAGAGCCTAGCGGGAGAATTGGAGTTGTACTAAACTGACGACTCTGTCGCGATATTTGAACTTTTTAATAGCCCAGCAGCTGAGGCCAAGCGTCTGCGTCATAGCGATAGGCTCTGCGCCCCACCAAAGCTTGAGTCAACCGGCCAGAAAAGGACCCCACAAAGCCACAGTAAATAGAGGCACCGCCTCAACCCTCACAGTGTGGTTACTGTTAGAAGTGGAGACATCTCTATGAGTTCTCTTGACAAGGTCCATCTCATTGGTCCAGAGCTCCCATACTCATTAAGCTCTCCGCTAATGACACCCCTCCTCTACATATCCTCATCCCAAGCTCTCTCTCTCACATGCAATTCTTCTTCAATCATATCAAAATATTCTTGCTGTGCAGTACCATTGTCCTCAATCTTTACCTCAGAACAATCAGACCCAACAATCAAGTGGAATTCACACTTTATCGCAATTATCTCGACAGTCTTTGCTATTCTCTTCATTGACTTCCCAAGTTTATTGCTCTTAAGCGTCACAATGGCTGCAGCCCTCGAATCTATTCTCAGCACTGTCTCCAAGATCGAAAATGAGCTTGCTGCTCGCGAGGCCCTTGCGGCTGTTAACGACTCCAAGCTTGACACGTCCAAGAGTTCATTCAAGCACTTCTCCAAGACCAAATCTCAACTTGCTGGTGATGACCCACAACGTCTGAAAGAGGTTATGCAGACTGAGCAACTCTTGCGTGCTGCTTGCCTCCCTAGAAGCCATCAGAGAGCCCATGCTGTCCAATTTCACGCCCAGGGACTGCCTAAAGAATTTATCGCTCGAAGGGTCAACTGGACTCAGCCTCTAACTCGTGCTGCGACTCGCGTCAAAGCTCGTCAAATATCCGACAAGCCCTCTTGCACCGACGCCCGACCTCCAGTCCCTACCATCGTTCAAGCCCGAGAGCTAGTCAAGTTCGTCAAGTCTTCTCCCCATGCCCGTCGCATGCCCCTCTCTAAGATCGCTGCTACCCTCGGATTGGAAAGTTCCGATATTGCCATTCGTAATGCTCTCGGTCGTTACGGGTACAAGTTGTATCCGGCTGTTGTTCGACCTTACATCAACGAGGACACCCGAAAGCTCCGCCTTGAATTCGCTCTCAACCATGTCAATTGGACCATCGAGAAGTGGAACAAGGTTCTCTTCACTGCAGAAGTCCGCATTCCCCTTACCGACGGACTTGAACCCTTGGTCATTCGACAGTCAGAAGAGGAGTATCATCTTGACTGCATCAACGATGTGCCTGCCGAGCCTACTACCTGTAATGACAGTGAGCTGTTTTTCGCCCACTTCTCAGGTCTCACGGGCAAAGGCCCTCTCATTGCTTGGAGTCGCGACGCGGACAACAAGTTCGGCCCCCTCAGCCCTGTGAATCACTACAAGGTCATCTTTCCAGGATTCTCCAAGTGGATTAACGATCAGCCTTCTGGATCTCGTTTTGCTATGCGTCCAGATATGTGTGCCCACGCTGCTGTTGCCGTCAAGGACGAGATGCGAGGGCGATTTATGCCCACTGAGCACTTCCCTCCCGCCTCACCCGACCTGAACCCCATCACCGAGATATTCAACTGGGTCAAGGCTAATCTCAAGGCTGAAAAGGAACGGTCTCTTTACGGCGAGGTCGCCGAGTGGCGCATTCGACAAGTTGTGAGAGGCACCTGGAACAACATACCACAGGAGAATTTGAAAGCGCTCATTGAGAGCATGCCTCGCCGATGTCAAGCTGTCATCGACGCCAATGGGATGTATACCCGGGACTAGCGATAATAACCACAACCCATGAGCTTACGATGAGATAAAAGAAACGCATTTATGCTGACGACCAAGGAAAGTCATGACGATACGACAACGAAAACGGCGATGACTGACGAGAGGTTCCGGTTATTAATTGGGCATCGATCGACAGGGTTGATGAAAGCGAGGCAAAGACTGAGTTTAGGTTTATGATACCCATATGTTTCAACAATGCTACACATTTATTCCAAACATGCGTGCTATGCATATCCAACGATTATGTATTTCCTGTGATATCATCACCAGCACAAGGTTGGTCCAGCTGCGGAGTAGAGCAGCAAAGCTTACCCCGCACATCAGCGCTCCAGCTCGACGCTCCAGGCAGTTCATCGCCCTAAAACTTGGCACGCGAGCTTAAGCTTTATGCTACCGCCGCACCTTATCTTGGTCTGTCAATCCCTGCCGAGCCGTCCACCAATACATTTTGGTGTCAACGTCACTGCACATCATTTTTCAGCTGCGAAAGTACGAATCCCCCGGTCTCACGTACATGTCCTTGTTTTTAGTTGCGTCAGTGGGTTCCTTGCCATACAGTGAATCAAGAATTGTTCCTTCCCCGCCTGATGTGTAGTGTGACCAGTTGTATAAAAGGGAAGATCTCGTCCACTTCTTGATCATTCCATCTTCATACTCATCATCCTACAAACTACATACTACAACTTACAACTTTAAACTCCAAATTCAAACTATCATCATGGATTTCGTCAAGAACCTCGCTGGTGGCAACAGCAACGCCAACAACACCGAGGGCCAGCAAGCTCCTCCCGAGGCTGGCGGTAGCTTCATGGACAAGGTCAACGGAATGGCTGGCGGTGGCGCGCAGGGTGAGAAGAACGAGGATGGTCTTGACAAGGGTAATTATCCCCATTGACTTCCCAAGCATCTCTGTACTAACAACCGTTGCAGCCGTCGACTTTGTGCAGGAAAAGTTCCTCGGCGGAGGCGACCAGAGCAACGAGAACGCCGCTGAACAGGCCAAGGACGAGGCTATTTCCGACGCCATTCGCGACCAGTACAAGAGCGCCACAGGCAGCGAATTCCCCATCTCCGACAAGGACAAGAAGTATGGAGCTTAAACTGGTGTCGAGGATCACGCGAGCTCAGAAGCATGAGCGAAAACAAACAATGTACGATTAGATGACAACAGCACCTGAATGATCACGAACCCTATTCTGTTCTAATGAGGCAATCCCTTACTTGTTGATGTGAATGCTATTTTAAGCTATTCCCTATTGTCAAGTTGTCTGTCCCTATTCACCATGGTGAGACATGCCTTCCACTCATCACCTCGAGTCTATGCTGTCTTGAAGCAGATCGCCACCAAAAAGTCTCACCAGACACTATAAGCAGTCGGTACGAGGGCCATGTCCGAGTTGGAGGAACATCCCAATCCTCCGACTACCAGACCTTTCAATCGCCCAATCGCCCAATCTACTCAAGCATCTTCAACGCTTTCATTCGCATGAAAACAACCGTCTGCAAATGATCAACTGCAAGAGGCAAGTTCTCGCTGGCAGCGAGGATTCGAGCTGTCTTGACGGCACTCTTGATCTGTCGGCCATTAAGAGGCATGCTGGCCAGCTTCGCAATCGCATCGCTGTCTCCAGCTAACGCCTTGTCCTCTCTGATAAGAAAATTGTACCAGACCTTGGCTCGGGAGGCTGGCTCAAGATCCTGGAAGACAAATGAAAGATCGATTCGTGACTCGAACGCGGGATCGATTGCAAGGTAGCGGTTCGTGGTGAGCATCATGACGCCCTTGTAGTATTCCAGGACGCGAAGGAAAACTAGGAAGTCATGTCAGACAGGTTCACAACAACCACAGAGAGTAACCTGCTGGTAGTCATCTCGTTCTGTGTAAGATTGCTGCTGGTGCGCTTTTCAAGGAACACATCGGCTTCATCCAGTAAGAGGATGGCATCCCAGCGGGCACAGCGATCAAGAGCAGTCTTGAGATTACTCTCCAGAGTCTTGGGATCCATCCCCAGGTCCGAAGTATCAACGCGGTAAAGAGGGCGCTTGAGATTTTCGGAGACTATGCTTCCATTAGCAAAGGATCCATTTGTAAAAATCAATGAAACGAACCAGATTCTGCGGTGAATGTCTTTCCCGTGCCGGGGGGGCCACACAGGAGCATGACGAGACCTTTCCCTGTGACTAGTGTCAGGTATCAATGCTTATAGGAAAAGCAGGCCAACCCTTTCCGTGAACAAAGTCGTCGAAATGCTGCAATTTTCCGTTGTTTGTTGCACCTATGAATCCGACCAGGAGTCTCTTCTCTGCTTCATCGATGACGAGGTTGTCAAAAGCCTGAGTGTTCCACTCAATGTCTTTTAAATCGTCCATCTTGGCCGTACCTAGCACAGGATGCTAACATACCTGTATGAGAATCTTTGTACATGTGAGCTTACACCACATCTTGTATTCGATCGAGAAACAGTGCACGGTCGAAACGGTCAACATAGCCTGCTCATCCCGGAGGCGCTTGGTGCCGTCGTCTTCTTCGTCCTCCCAATGGCTATCTTCCTGTGACTCTTGATGGTCACCAGCAGTAGAGGCCTTGTAATACTGTCCGTTTCTGTACATTGCACTGGTGATTCGAAGACTGGATAGGGAGTCGGAGGAGCTACCCCGGTGCCCATGTTGACCTGCCGCATCGACGATTACTCGTCCTGCGATCTACATTCCCCGTCAGTACAGCAACTCCAAGCATATTTAGAAGCCGTACCGCTTGAGTGGGGAGGCTTGGGATGCTTGGGATGCTGGTGTCCCCCCAACCTGACTATTCGATTGTTAATATGTTTCTCTATATCACAAGCTCACTGAATATCTTACCGCCTCAACTTCACAATGAGTGTGCTCTTTTTTGAGAATACCGGGATAAAAGCGGTAATGAATGCCTCGTAGTGCTTCATACTTGCGGCCACGTTCAACGAGAGCAGCCTCCATGTTCTTGATGTCATCTTCTGAATAGGCCCACGCTGGTCGGACGCTGAGTTCAGAGATAGACCGAATGCCTGCGAACCTGGGGAACTCGAACCTCGACACGGTCGCACGATACTCCTCCCCGTTCCACACAACTTGACTGACTATAACTTCTGAATGAATGTAATCCCGGGAAATGCCTGCGGCCATAGGAGGGCGGGAGTCAAAGAAGAGCTGACCAGGCTTGTAGACAAATTGAAGGTCACTGGAAGCAGCACATCCTGTCTTCATGATCTGCTTGACTCGGATGAGAGTATCTCGTAGTTCACCCCTGATTAAATCCATGAACAATTTCATGAACTTCTGGGCTTCGGAACCAGCATCGATGTCTACCACCTCGCACAATTGCTCCCAGTGATGAACCAAAGGAACAAACGGCTTCTGGAAACTGACAGTTCCTTTTCTGAAACTCCAATCGGGATGATCTCCCAAAATCACTCGTAGAACATCCTGCAGGATGGGGTTGTTGATCCAGATGGTTTGAACCTCCCAGGTACTTTCTCTGGTTGGGTAGTGACCACATACAATAGCATAAGTATCGCGAATTCGTTTGGCCTTACGGACTGGATCTTCTTCCTCGCCATAAGGCATGTCGTCGAGCCATTCGACAAAATCGCCAGATTTGTCGAATTCGGCAAAGGCATCTCTGACTTCGCAGATATGTCCAAGTTCACCAGCTTCAACTAGATGCTATCGTCAGCCGTCACTACCATTGGATAAATGGAGGGAAAGAAAATAAGATACCTTCGCCATCCGCACTGTCGGAATCTTTGACAGGCCAAGGATTATCACCGTCACCCCAGGACGACATGGTTAGGCAGTTAGAAGATGGCGAGATAATACTGAGCAAGAGTCTGCGAGCACTCAATGAAAATGATCGGAGTTGAAAATTTGTGTGGTTTTGAAAGATCAGAGAAGAAAAAGGAAGAAAATTGGGGGGGTTGAAGCAGAGGAGCGCCTACACCTTAGATGCAAGTACTACCGCTTTACGTGCTTGGCGTCTGTGATTCACTGCAACAAGCATGATGTCGGTCTTGCTTTCCCCTTTCATTTGCCAGAATCCCAAATGGATTAACACAGAAAGCGTTGTCTTAAGCTCTTAGGAGTATGGCTGAATGGTTCCTGCAAGTGTGATGATGGCAAAGGCCAACTTCCCCAAACATATCTTACCTCGACACAGAAGGAAACAGGTAAACATCTGAAGCTTTAAAGCATGGTAGACAAATAATTCTAATCAGTTAACAGAGATTCAAGGCTTTAGGTGTTTCCATGAAATAGGCGTTGGATTGTTTGTGGACATCAAGCAATAGCGATTCTATAGGTATTTCATTTGTCCTTCACAAACATTTGGACCTTGTTTGGTCTTATTGATGATATGTGCACATTAACAAATAAAACGCTTTTTTCTTTTCTTTTCCTTTTTTTACATTTTAATTGGCAGATATGAATGAGTTATAGGCAAGTGGTGGCTCAGATCACAAGAATGGTCTCGGAAGGACCGTCAAACAAGAGGCAAACTGCAAGACAAAATTTCAACAGCATGACTTTGTGTAACAACGCCGCTTAGCTTAGAAGAAGATTATAACCGATCAGATCTGGCCCCAAAGATTTCTTCATGCTTTGCCACGCCGTGGATGAGTTGCTTTGGCTTAGACTTACACCACCGAGGTCCGCATCCTGAATACCAAGGTCACATCTGTTTGCCTGTGAGTACTACAAAAGGTATTATCTTTCGATCTGGTACAACGAGTCAGCATGACTTGGGCTAATGGTATGAATTTAGTTTGCAGACGCAAATACTTTTGCAGTAAGCTTGTCCTTGATGTTTATAAGTCGAGTCAACCTGTTGCCACTCCACCTTACCACTTCAGTTATATAAGCTAAGGGAGGGGAAAAAAAAACTCAGGCCCTTGATCCTAAAGGACAAAAAGACTTAGGTAAATTTACCCAAATTTGAAATATCCTTTGATGAGTTTGTTTTGATACCCTATATTAAGGTCCCGTATTTTCTTGCTCCCCGAGGATCAGTCATACGCCGATCCAACAAGTGGAGTATCACAACATGATGATCCCATAGAATCCGTAGAAACCAATTATATCTTTCAAAGTAGCACAAATTGAGACTAGTCAAAGAATCATCCTGGTATTATGATCCAATTTGATCGTCAAAGTCGAGCCTTGTGGACTTCAATGTGAGACGAAGATAATAGACAAAACCAAGTGGTTGAGAGGCACTACCAAGCTGGGAATGCAAGCAAATATCTATTGGCTTGTCCAAAAGATCTGCTGCTAATCCTTACTTTAGTCGCTAATGCTAGGGACTCTCGGGTATTTCCTTCTTGGTCTCGCCGGCGGACGCTTTTCCGTCTTAGGCTGCTGCGTATAACAGTAGTAGCTGAGCTGACACTATTTAAGTCATCGGTCTCATGCTTCATCTCGCAACAAAACATCATCTCGACGACAATTACATTTAATCTTCACTGCAATGACGCGCCGCAAAGAATCGGAAATCATAGACGATCTCCGTCAAACTGAGAGTGCCGTCAAGAGAAAGCTCACTATTCGCCAATTCACAAAAGCCTTACGACGTGAAGACCGCTTCCAGCAAGCATGGGATGCTACAGGAGGAGCTTCAGGACTGGCCCGTCTGATGGCCGAGTTCAGCATCCGAGACGTGCGTGATACGTGCAAGCGTCTGGGCTCGACCGCTTCAGCTGAGAAGGCACAGCCCCAAAGACGCGCTGCTCTTGGAGAGTTGGTCACGATACTCTACGAGGGACGAGAAGATGACAGACCTCTGACCAGCTTCTACCAAGACATAATTCCAGCCTGCAGCCTTGAGCTGGTAAAGAAGTTTGAGAAGGATAGGAAGATTAAGTGGACGGCGCCACAGAACAAACGTCTCTTTCTAGGCCATCGAGAGCAACACGAGGATAAATTCCTCACTGAGATCTTCAGCAAGGACAAAGATATCAAGTTCTATCAGCATAGGAGACTCTTTCGCGGCAACATCGCTTTTTGCGAGAGGATATTGACGACACTCCTCGCAAAAGAGGGCAAGGTTCATGTCCCATATGATTTGATAGATGAGGTGGCTATGCCAGTTCTCAAGCGCCTCCTCAAGAGCAGATACGACGACGAGAGGCGCATCAAATATCTCAGCCTCGTACTCGAATGTATCCAAAAACACGGAGAGATTTCCGGGCAGCTTGTTCTAAGACAAGGTGGCTTGCTTCAGTATACTGTCGATCGGTGGGCCAAGGCTGCCGATGGTAGTGAAAGCAGGAGACAATACCAAGCCCGTTTGGTACAGGTGATCCAGCTATTGCCGAGCGAGAAACCACCCATCGACTTAGAGAGAATACGTCAAACTTTGTGGGTTTCTTGGGAGTTAGATATCGATGGCAGATATGATTTATTTCGCCTCTTCATCCAGCATCACACAAACTATAAAATCGACATCGAGAGCGACTCGGACCAAGATCTGGCTAGACTCAAGGATCTTCCTGAAAGAGCCTGGCCTTCAGATCTGTTCTTCATCATCAATTACAAGAAGTCACTACAGCTTTTTGAGAAGCTAGAAAGCCTGTTTCCCAAGAACAACTTCCTCCAAGCTGCGAATCAGACTGGAACAATACTCAATCAGTCGCAAGGGCATATCAAACACAGCGGTTTCGGAGACGTCGAAATCGTAAGGGCGTTGCTGATCCGCAAATCGAACACACAAGATGAGCACCAGGGATGGCTTGATCGTGCCATTGGCCTCGTAAATGAACGGAAAACGAACGCTCAACAGGCTCGCGAGGCTGTCGAGCGCGCATACTGGGCTAGAGCTGCCTTGAATCTCTGCGTCGCTATTGGAGACCTACAGACTTTGAACGACACCATTATCTGGTCCCGGCGTTTCATCAAGGACTCGCTCATAAGCCACAGTTTATTCAGTGTGAAAGTCTTCAAGACGAAGGAGATTGAGGAAGTTCTGGGTGCCATGCCAAATGAACGTGTCAGCTCACCTGAAGCTATTGCGTCATTCACATCAGCCTTGCGCAAGAAAGACATCAAGATTGCAAACCAGGTTCTCATCAATATTGTTGAGACTGTAACGCTCGCAGTCGGAGAACCCGGATTCAAGGCCCAGAATTGGACCTGGCTATTCAACCTTGTCATGGCTGTAACAGGCCAACGTATGAGCAGATTGGAAATGTTCTTCAAGAACCTTGCAAAATGCTCAACGGCTGATCGTGAAAAGTGCGAAAGGGACATGATGGAGATCGTCTGGAAGCCGACAACGGATTTGCTCATTAAAGCCGGCGCTATAGTTCGAAACCCGGCTTTGTCGACAGCACACGGCGGTTCGCTTTTCGACTCTCTTACCACTTCATCGAATCGCGAGTCTGTCAAGGGTAGCTACGTATATCGTTCACTTTCAAGGACATCTCTGTCGCCTCCTTTACTTGCAGAGCTGGCACGCTTCCTTATCGATAGGACAAGGGAACGACTGGGATCCGAAGCCATAAGTGCGCAAATGCACGATATCATCTTCGTCATTGAGCGTCTGGCTTCTAGCGACCAGCCTTCACTAGCATGTCCCTTCATTCGTGACTTGGTTCTGGACAGTGAAGGCGCCAAAGAAAACTCTTCTTGGCACCGTCATCTTCTCAGCGTTGGCTTCCTTTCTGTGCTTCCAGCCAAGCCAGCAAAGGAAATGTTACACACAATGGCCAGTGCGATAAAGGAGAAGATGCGAGAACAAAATCAGAACACGGATGCTAAAGAACAGGCAGAAAGACCCAAGGAAACCACTGAAGAGGACGCATCAGCAGGTTCCAAGCCCTCTCAGGGCCCATCCATCAAGGTTACTACCGTCAAGATGCTCGTCCAGATCTTGCAATACAACTTGTTCATGGATCCGTATTCAGCATGTGAAATCCTTGTTGGTCTCCTTGCGGAAGCACGACACATCGATATCCGAATCACCATCACCAACAGTCTCTTTGCAATCTTGGAGGAACCTACTTGCCCCCCAAGTCTACGGAAACGCATCCTTGACGCACTTGGGGATTATATTGTTCCAGCAACCGCACAGCTCAATGAGAGACGCGGGCTGACTGAAGCTGATTGGGTTGCTGCTTCAGCCCAGGAGGCTCCACTGCCTGAGATTGGCGATGAAACTCCCCTTCTCCAGCTCTTGATCTTGAAGGTTAGGGGACAAAGTTTGATCGAAGAAGACAAAACGAGGCTCGCATCACTCGTTATGGGTGCAGTTGAGAAATCTGCTGACAACAACACGCGCTGGATGAAACTCTTCTTGAGTAAAAACAACTTCTCTCTCGAGGAAGAGATTCCCCATCTCCCTGTTCACCTCACTACAGTATCTGCTCTTTATGGGCAACTCCAACCCTACACACCTGTATCAGTCTTCCAAATGGTTCGCTCCGCCGCACTCATCAATGTCGATCCCAGCCCTGGCATACAACATATCACAAAGGCCATCCAGGAGGACCGGGATCTCGTTAACTCAAAGGCAGGCAAGCATTGGCTTTCGCAGTTTTCCAACCCCGGACGTGATTCGTTCAAGTTTGGAATCATGCTGTCTGCGGCCATGGTACAGCAGAGCGCTGCCGACCGAGAGTCCAAGCTGGCTGAAAATGGAGTGTCTCTGCAGATGCTTCAGTCGTTCGTGATCGAGTACATCGAGAGGCTGCTCAAGATTGGACAAGCCGACATGGTGATGACGCTTGTCATGAGGCTTAGTGGTGGACGGTTTAAGGATCGACAGAACTGGAACGACTGGATGGAAAACTCTGTGCCCGTTATCAAAAAGATGATCTCCAAGACAGAGGAAGTTCAAGAAAGTATCCGCAGTAAGGAAGCAGAGCCTCGTAGGCTGCCCAGTGTGTTTCAGCTGAAACTAAGAACGATATCTGTACCCTTATCTGATGGAACATATGAAGAAAATAAGGCATTCGCAGAAGAGCTTTACAAGCTCATCGGGGACCTCGGAAGCCGTCAATATCACCCGTACCATATGGACTTCCAGAAGCTCAAGGAGGAGTTTGATTACTGGCCCCTCACACAGTCATTCGGCCGTTTTGCACTCATTTTGGCAGAATCGCAGGAGTACGATATTGCTTCCACAGAACAGCCAACACTCAAGGATTATCTCTGTTGGGAGATCATTGGTCATGTACTCACTAAGGCAAAGGATCCAAAGGATGAAAATGTTGTTGAAGATGTCAGACTGCTGATGCGAAAGTGGGAAACCTGTGAGGATGAAGCAATGAGGACAATGGGGATGAAGTTCAAAGGAGTGCTGAAGGATGCCGATAAGACATGGTATAAATGAGTGAGACTGGACATTCAGTTACGAAAGTATGAGATGAACCTCAGTCGATGATCACTTCCTACTGAGCCCAAAAAAACAGACATAAGCTCAAAAGATGGCGGTTATGGAGCGGCGTGACCCTGGATCATCTAACTACCTCATGAGGGCAGACAATGTTAAAGTGAGTTCTTGAACAACTCTGTGTATTGCTTCTTATAGTTATATGACAAACTTGTGAAATCATCGCAGTGTATTTTCGAGTACAAATCGTTCAGGAACAACAAGTCATTGCATTTGGGTATGTTGCTATAATAATAGGAGCTACAATATTACCATACCATTTCACGTGCTTCATCCACCATCATCTATCTAAACCACCAATCAATACAGACTTCTCTAAAGCAATGCAATATCCTTAACCCCCACATTACGAGGCACCGAGGCCTATAAGCACAAAGAACGTAAGTCATAGCATCAGATCAGTAGCCATGAAAAGTTTGCCACAAACACTACGAGAACAGCAAAAGTCAATGGGGTCCGTGAGTGGCAGTGGGCTCTCGTCGAGTCGTTTGAAACAACGAACGAAGGTTCGGGCATGCCCGACTCTGTCGGAAGATCTGCCTGGACAGCTGATGCCGCTGAAGCTGCAGATAAGGCAGGGATGTCGTTGCCAGGAGTGTCAAGTTCTTGACCATTCTCTTGCCTTCGTTTTATGTCAGCCATGGCACGTTCCTTCAATTGAGTTGGTGATGAGTACATTGAAGGGCCATTTGTCGGCTAGACTGTCATGACCTTTGTTGCTGTGCTCTCTACTTGAGTTGGTATGATCACCGTGATGACTTGAGGCCCCTCGTGAGCGCCGCCCATAGCGTTGGAAGCGGTAGGCTGAGGGGGTCTTGGTTGAACAGGAGGTCCTGAAAGCTGGGCTGGAACTGCTGGTGCAGGCAGAGCGGGCTGTGAAGGTGGTGCTGTGATTTCTGGTGCTTGGGGTCCGAGATCACTGTTCCCTTTCTCGCCATCACCGTTGTCACTTCCTTTACCGGGGCTTTCCTGTCCAGTACCATCACTATCTTGAGAACCGTTAGGGGCTTGGCCTTCGGGGGGAGTTGAAGGCGGGGATGCAGGAGAAGGAGGATTGGCTGGCTCCGGAATTCCTGGGCCACCATTCGCAGGACAAGGGCCATGCTTTCCAGCACAAGAGGCCCCGTTATCAGGATTACCGTTTCTGTTTGGTTGAGAAGGAGGGGCAGCAGGTGAAGGTCCTACATCGAGAGGAGGCACATCAGAACTATTCGGCGACGGAGGGCTTGCAGGCAGACTGCTAGATTCTGGATCAGACCCGCCATCGTTTCCATCGTTACAAGGTGAGTTTTCGTCCCCGGGGCAATTATTTGGAACAGTGGGGGGTGCTGTCTGGGGAGGCGGCTGGGGCGATGAAGGCTCAGAAAAGCCACAGCCAGCGTTCGAGCCAGGGTCTGAGCACGCATTTCTACCGCTGCCATCGCCCTTTGGAGGCTGATGAGAGTCAGGGCAGTCTGGTATACCGTCTTCAGCACCACAGGGAGGACTATCTCCAGCAGGAGCAGGAGCAGGGTCGGGAGGGGGGCCTTGAGGAGGGGGTGAATCTGGCGCTGGCGTTGGTATTTGAGGCGCTGGAGGCTGTGTTTCTTGTTGAGGTGCCGGCGGTTGAGGTGCTGGAGGTCCAGGAGGTAGCTGATTCTGGTTGACGCATGCTGCATCGTTGATATCGATAGAGCAGTCCACTGAGCCGCTAGTATTTGGAGGAGAGGCTGGAGCAGCATTATTTCCAAGAGAGTTCGCATCAGATCCATCAGTAGCGTTCTCATCGCAATCTTCCCCCGGTCCGCCAGTTGCATCTTGATTTAGCGCCCCGTCGCTTCCATCCGGGTTTGAAGGTGCAGGAGCAGGAGCGGGCTGAGGCTTTGATTGTCCTGTATTGCCTTGATGGGGATCATCAGGCGAACTATTCCCATCAGTAGCATCTGGTCCTGGCGCAGGAGGGCCGTTGGACTGGCCATCCGGCTGGGGATTGCTGTTGGCAGGAGGGTTGACAGGAACCGGAGCAGGGGCAGTAGGGTATTGGCCATCATTGTTGCCAGATGGTGAAGGTCCATTATTGAAATTGTTTTCTTCACAATCCGCGTTAGGGTCTGAGGGCCCAGTTCCATCGATGCCACCACCGCCTCCGGAACCTGTGCCTCCTGAAGGACTATCTTGACCGTCACCTGAGCCTGCTGTTTTTCCTGGCAAGGGCCCATTGTTCGGGCCCGGAGCACCACCTGGTGGACCTGCTCCAGCATTGGGGTTGCCATTCCCAACTCCTGTTGAGGCAGGGGAACCGCCATCGGGAATAGGTTGAGGAACTGAAGCGGTGGATTCGGGGAGAGACAATGTGAGAACACCATCAGATCCGGCTTTGCAGTCGTCAGAGAGACTAAAACGGCTTTCAAATCCAAAGCTGGCCGAATCAGAGCGTGAGACAAGCGGCACGAAATGTCTAGTAGCAAGGCTCGTATGTTGTATTTCCACGGGAAGGAGATCACTGATGATAGCACCACGATGAGAGCAAGTGGAGATAGTATATGTCAAAGCTTGACCATACTGATCAGTGCAAGAACTGGCCAGGCAAGAGAACATTTCCTGTGCATAGTCAGCAACCCATAACTCGATGCAATAGAAGCGATGACTTACTCGTTGAACAGCCATGTCATGACAGAGACCCTCAACAGTAGGAATATCATAATAGTGCATAAGTTCGCGAGAGCAAATGGTAGCACATTCTCCAATCTTTTGTCAGAATATCCATGAATATTGGGCTCAGAGTCCATACCTGGTGTAGATGTATCGAGGCTGTATGTACGAGTAGCTAAGCTCGATAATAAGCCAGCGAACAAATGAGAACGCATGGCTGTATGGAAAGCAAGTGGCTATGATGAGGGAAGCGTGCAGAAATTGGGTGCTGGTTTAAACGACAGTACCAAAAAAGTGAGTGAGTGATTGAGGGACGGGTTCCAAAAAGAGTGTGAGATGCGTTCCAAAAACGAGCTTGAGCTGAAGCCGAAGACAACGGATGAAGATGAAAAGTCTAGGATCGGTAGGACCATGATAGGTTAAGAAGTAGGCGGATGTTCTGATGAATTTGAGGAAGGTGGTGTCTGGTGATGGTGAGGGTAGGAGCAGGTGCCAAGTTGCTGTTCTGGTAGCGGCCCCTTCCACCATATGGGAAACCATCTAAAGTGGAATGAAGGAAAGGAAAATTGAGAATGCATCTTTTGTATTGAAGAGATAAACAGTCTATCGGGTAGGTAAGATCTATGAGGTAAACAATCGAGGGTAAGTCTCAAACAGAAACAGCGTCTTCGCAATCAAACTTTTCTTGTGTCAGGGTATCACATCCATCTAATAGAACAACAAAGCCAACGGCTTCTTCTCGTCGCCGTATCGGTCCTTGAACTCTTTTCTTGACAAGAAGCGAGCTAGAGGCATCATAGTATCCTTCATGTCCATCACGCCTCGCTTCTTCTGGTCGATATGTGAAGCATCAACGACTAGCCGCTTCAAATTATCCAAGGAGAGTGCGCCTGCTGAAGTCAGTGCCTGCCTGTGATTATGAGGGACGCAGGAAAGGGAAGGGTCGAGACCAAACTTACCATTGTCGATGAGATCCATAAGTCGGGCAGGTGTACCGACACAGATGCCAGTTTTGTGGTTCTGGAGGAACTTGACTTGCTCCTCAACTTTCATATGCTTGGCGAACTTGGATGTGTTAGCTATATCATTTCCACATCTTAAAAAAGAAACTTACCAATTTTGCGACTGAATTCTCTTTGCTTTGAAACTTGCGCATCGACCTGCTCACAGTCAGTCTTTTTTACCTCTCAAACTGAGTCGCAATAACACACCTGACAATATCTGCAGCTCTCAAACCCGCTCCTGCCACAATGAGGGTATGGGGCGATCCCTTCTTCTTGGGCGCCTTCTTTAAACCTTCGGGGTCCTCTGACACCTTCTCCAGAAAGTCGGGAAACTTATCCAAAGTTCTTGACTCTTGCCATGAGGTGGTATCTTGAATCGCGTTGGCTGGGAATTTGTGAGTGAGATTTTCAATAAGAATGGCAAACGATAACAGGCATTCTTACCTGATACAGTCATATCGGAAATCTCAACAGCGCTCAATTCAGTGCCGAAGCGACCCAATTTCTGGGCAAGATGATCGGCCAGGAGTTGGTTGTCCATCTTGGTGAAGAGCGTGTTGAGACCAAGCTCAGTATCGAGAAGTTCATCATCTGGTGCATTCGCCTTTCTCTTTTTGCTTTTCTTCGGCTTTGGCTGGACAGGAGTATCCTCCGCTTGACGCTTTTTAGTAGTCGACATGATGCAGGCTGTGTCTTGATTACCTATGGTGTTGTTGAATTCTTTCGTTTAAGATTTCTCCAACGTCAACAAGAAATTTTGCGACGTACAGTGTAAATATTTATCATGGCTATATTTCGCATGGGGATCGAGATATTAGTACTGTATTCGGCACAGTATACATGGTCTACCAGATCCACCAGCCATGATGAAGCACGTCTCATGAGAACCACCTAGTATGGGCTAAAAATGTTCAAATTCTGTCGACATTGGATTGGGATATCTGATTCACGATTACAGTTTGGATTGTTCCATGTGCAAGCAAGTCCTGATTTTCACAACGGTCATTAAAACACCCTGTATACTAAACAAAGACTGAACACAGGCTCTGTATCGTCCTGATACTTGTCTATGAACCTTTCGAATCCCGAACGCCCAATATATGCGCCCTGTAGCTTAAATCAAACCGATGTAGCTTTGCCAATTGTGAGACTCTAGAAAATGCTGTTGACGATGTTTCCTCCGATGGTGGCACCAGCACCAAAGATAGCAGCGTTACCCAGCTTCTTACCAAATTTTTTGCCGTACTCGTTGACCTTGTTATCCTTGCCATCTCCCTCCTGTCCCTGCGGCTGTCCAGATCCCTC